AACATACAATACGAATGCATATAATATATATAGGTAGGTAATACAGAGCATTAGAGCTAACCAACAAAGCGCGTTCTTCGCTGACCCGCTTTGTCGGCCTTAGAGAGGACGTGGTATTCGCAAATGTTTTGTCTCCCTGTCTTACACAAAAGTAACATAACAATATTAATCTATTTATCGGATTCTCAGCGCACAGCCGTACAGGTTATTTATTGCAGATTATAATTATAGTTAATATATTATAGAAAAATGAGCATTGATATGCCCATAATATCGGTAGGTAAGTAGGTGGTATACGAGATCACTGCTGCTGAAGTCGAGAAGTTATATTTTTCGCCATACACTTACACTGCACCCTGCAACCAATACAACCGCAAACCGTCGGTATTCGATAATATTACACACAATTATATTATTTCGAGTAAACCACCCGGCAACGTTTTATTCTTCAAAACACTTTATCTCGTTCCCTATCGTTTACGGGTCATCGGGTCCCGTCGAACAGATGAGAGGTTGATCGTGTATAGGCTGTTATTGTTTCACCCGCGGAGTTGTATAAATATTTTATTATAAATTATAATTATTATATTGTGAGGTTCGCCACTTCGCCAGATCGATTACGAAACGATTTGGTCGTCGCGGACCGAAACCTTGACACTGCGTCACTTCTAACCCACAACCTCCGGCTGAGATTTTTGCTGGAAACACGCCACCGCGCACTTATCGCGTACGGTAATCGCGGATAATGAATTATTGGTCATAGTCTAAATTGCGCGCTTTTTGTTACATGTATATACATAATATTATGCGTGTATTGCCTGCATAGGTATTAACATCACACGGCGTAAACATGCACGAGTATCTAGGTATGTGAGTAATATTATTATATATAATATAATAGTGACCAATTAGCATAAACACGTAAGCGGCGTTTTGTAACAGCGGCGAAACTCGTTACGAGTATAGATATATATGTACCAAATCGTCGTATATAGTGTGACATAACTAGGTTACCGCCGTTTTTGAGGTGAACGTGTTAATAATAACTATAAAATTATTATTGTCGTACATCAAGACAAACGCCGACACACGAGGTGCACTCGTATGCTTGCGTGTGATGGCTTTGGGCGATCAACACTTTCGGTTGTCGCGAGTAATAAATTCGCTCGATTGCGCCGAGCACTCGGAAAACGAATAATAGTCATGATAAATATCATGATATTGAGTCACGCTTTTGCGAAATCGACGACGATACCGTTTTTCTTTTATTACGGTTTTATTTATGCGCGTTTACTGCGTCTTCATTCGCTTTTATCGATTATGGCTGTGTGAATTCTGTATTTAGCCCGTGTGTGTTTCCTGCTGTTCGATTCACATGATAAATTCCATCCTGATCCCCGTTTGTATTGACGCAGCAACTTTTTTCGCGACATAGTCGTCGTCTAATATAATACCTAGGTGCCTATATAATATGTTATGTACAAAAAATATTGTATTATTTTATCTTAAATTTCTCGTGGCCTAGATTCCCGCGACTAGGAGACACACAGTCAAGGACGGAAGGCGCGCGACTTACCGTTTTTGTTTTTTTTTTCGGTTCCGTTCACAATTCGTTCGTTGAGAAGGTCTGCTCGGACGAATACGGTTAATGCGTATTTAAAATCGTTTTCAGCGTTATAATTATATACGCGTCTACGATATTGTATTAGTGTAATATTATGGACCGTGGTGAACTGGTTTCTCCAAACTTTGTTTTTCCGAAACTCGGTTGCTGCTACTCGATATTTTAAACTGATATTAATATTATGATGAGTCTGTAGTATAACTTGAAGTATGATAAAATATAATATTTGGTAACTTGATACCCATACGAATTACGGAAGTCGATGATATTAATATATAGTAGAACTGTTAAACGCTGGTTCTAAAATAACGAATTTTACTTTCTAAAGTATTTAATTACGACAATGCTAGTTACATGCAATCACAACAATATGTCGCACTAGAAAGCAAAAACGTCTGTAATTGTATACATACCATACACAAATAATAATAATAATATTAACTTATCGTTTGATGCTAAATCGGACTATTGTAGGTATATTATTACGACCGAAGAAGTAAAAAACCAAAAGTTTTCTTTAAGGTATTATAATTCGAAAAATTGATACTTTTTATTCTCCCTTGAACGACTTTATCGAATACATTGTCATTATAAAAAATATATTCAACGTTCGTTTTAAATAAAATTCACTGTGGTTCATACCAATTTCATTCGAAACCAGATCGATATTTATTACGCTATGAATGATGCGTACTACCAATATTAATACGTTAATATATTTTATGCAATAATCCATTTGCAATACTATGCAGCGATGCTGTGTCCAAAATTACCGACCTATCTACTGGTAAAAAAAAAAATGAAATGGAGCGACTATATTATGTATGATATACTGGTCCGGGTGCTTTATAATATCAAATGTAGTTTATTTATTTCGAATACCTTTACTAAGAAGATTTTTTTCGATCTACAAGATTGTGTAATTATTTTACTTTTAACCGTAATATATATTATGACATAACTCGTATAAATTGCAAAGTGATTTTTTAATTGCATTAAACATAATTTACTAACCATTTAATTTACTCGATACATATAATAAAACAGCTGCAAGATTAATGACTACACACATCATGTTATAATATTATACATAAGTACATAACACATGCGCCATGTCTCCCGTTCGTCGAACCCTCAAAACTCGTACAAGTATATACACCCATTATGCAGAATAACAGAATATAACATATATCATATGGATACACACTGCAGGGCTTTATATTTAAAGCTAATATTATAGGGGCCCGGATCGTGGTTCATTTGAAAATATAAATTTTCACAATACTAACTACTTATGAAACCATCGCATACAATGTAACTACGTGGTTTTAAAATGATACATATTTCATTATATGTTATAAATACATTTACATGATACGTGCATAATACAGTGCATGTAGGCCTACGTATGTACCTACATAACAATCAATTTGTCTTTGTCTTTATTATTTAAAATAAAAACCTTGCGTAGGCATAGGCAGGTGTAATATAATATATTAACTTCAAAATGTTGAAAATCGTATTGTAGAACAATAATTAATGTCCTGAAAAGTATGAAAAATATCATTTTTGTTTTACACAATCATTATTATGACGTATCGGAGTGTGGAACCCTGAGGCAAAGCAACTGTCTCCTTCCCTCTCTTAGCGTAGAAAAATAATTTTGATCGGTTAAATCGAGAAGTCATCGCGTTGAAACCGAAAAGTGCAACGTGAGCTTCATTACAGTACAATGCAAAAATAAATGATATTATGATAATGATCATCATTGATCATTGAAACGATACGAAGTCGACAACGCACATAATGTAATAATACACGGGGCAGAAGTCGTATAATATATATTAGGACTTGTGGTTCTATAGGTTTATTACCTATAGGTATGTGTAGCACATTCCAACGTAGATACCTACGCAAAACATGGTCGGTGGGGAGGGGGTCGATCAACGCACGGCCCCGGCAATAGCAACGATGACAATAATAATAATTATTATCATTATTATTATAGAACACCGTGTTAAAAAAAAATATAAAAACACACACACCCAAATCGCAGGTTAATCGCCCTTGACACGATTATTAATAGTCGCACGATATTATTATATATTATATTATATATTTAGTTTCGTGTATATTTGCAGATCACTGGGCGTGATTCATATTGTTATTGTTGTTCTCTGACATACGAAATATTATTTTTTTCTAGTAGTTACACTACCCTCTGTAACGATCAAAATCGTGAGATTCCACATAAGAAAAAATCTATTATTATAATATTATATGGTCGTTTGACATCATGTCTTATACAAAAGACGATGTGGACGACGAAATGAGCGAAAGTAAAATATTATATCTCGAACAAGCGATTGATATCGTTCAACAGATTTTTGCAAAATCGACGATCTTTATCACCTTTTGTTATATTTTTTTTTGTGCTTGCCTATTACGGTATCTTATTTATGTATAAGTCGTATATATTACGAGATTGTTACATTACGGGTGATCGAGTAATGACGTGGGTCATATCGCATGATCATGTGACTATGTGAGTGCGCAATACCCGGAGAAATTCGGAAATCTATTAGAAAAAAAACAGTATTTAAAAACTGGGTCCCCTCAGATATATATGGAGATGTATCTTGGCTAGTGGTACCTATATACAGAATGATTATTAACCAAGCATATTCGACCGCTTACACTTCCTCGTTAGATCTTTTTACAATTATTCAAATTCTGATTATTGGTATTTTAATGTGTATAAACTTATAAAGACTATAATCATATTTTCAAATATCCACAGTTGTAGTACCATTATGAAGTTTTCTGTAGCTATACAAACTCCTTTTATTCGATTGAGAAACACCATTTTTTATTACAAATTGTTAATCAAATTAATTATTTTGAGTAGATAATATACGTATACCCATAATATATATTATTTAATAAGTACCTACTAGGTTCTTGTATCTATATAAGGTCTATAAACTGATACTATTCTTTCGAATTTTGATTTATGTACATCAATATTTTCCAAAAATGTACTTTAAAAAATAGTGGTGATAATTTCTCGAAATTTCTATCACTAGAGTCTACAGGACACTCCTTACATCAAATTACATAAATAATATTAGTAGGTATTTGAAAATACGGACCTCAGTAGATCAAAAACTTAAAGGAAAATGGGGTTACATGTATGGTTGGTGAACCACATTGTATAGAGTTATAACTTTAGACCACTTCCACATCGGATAAATATAATGTAATATATTAAAAAATTATAATATGCACTGTGGTTAACATTTTATTTAAAAAATAAATGTAAAATTTGTTTGGCTTAGAAAATAAGCTCATACTATATTGTTGGTTTCACTTACAGATGACGCTGAACAAAATGGTCGTCTTGTTGACGGCGAGCCTGTTCTGTTCGGCTGCAGCCATATTCCACCAGCAACCGTACTACCCGGCCCCGGAACAGTACAATTACACCGGTAAGTTGCAATACCCACTAAAGAATTCATTTTACACTAAAAAATGCACGTAGACGGCTGCATATTTAATGAATTATTTGTAGGACTGTAGTAGTATATATTATGTTTGAAACGCGTAAGATTAATAATAATTTTTGTATTATGTGATTCGAGGTTATTTGCCACAAGAATCGTATGGACAACCCCTAGTCGCTTTGCCGTACCAGGCACCACAGCCAGGTTTCGGTTTCGGACCGTCACCCGCCGCTGCCGGTCTAGGACCCCGTCCCGGACCCAACAAGTGAGTGTTAAAATAATATAGTCATGACCCTAGTGTTTTTTGCTGACCATTGTCAAACTTTTCACGCTCTTACGCTAACTTTTATAGTTTCGGTGAGATACCCACAGCCCCACAAGGTGCCGGATGTCAGCCACCTGTTGGCCCATGCCCCAACAACAAATACAGGACCATTGATGGATCCTGTAACAATCTCAGGTACACCAACTGGGGTATTCCCAACTCCAAGTACGCCAGACTCTTGCCACCCAAGTATTCTGACGGTAAGTTCAAATATATAGTGTTGTAAGTGCCTTTGTTTATCAAAAGACACTATAATGGAATTTGTAAAATCGTTTTGACGATAGTTAAAACATTTTTGTACGTTTTTAATCATGAAATATATTAATCGTGCAGGCATCCACGCTCCACCCACGTCTGTCAGCGGCGAACCACTGCCCGGTTCCCGTCTCATCAGTATTGTCATGTTCCCGGATGTCCCAATCCCTGATCCAGTATGGACTCTCATCACCATGACCTGGGGCCAAATCGTAACTCATGATATGTCCATGTCCATGGGTACAACACAAGCAAGTAAGTGTACACTACAACGGTAAACGTGTAATTCATATAACCTTATAAGTTATAAGGTATCCGGTATTCAGGTATCTATTCTATATATAACACACATTGTTACGATTGAATTTGCAGAATTACTCCGCAGAGTAAAACGCCTTTTAGTTTTTTTTTCTCGACACGCGATCGAACTTAACGACGAGTGGGTGGATATTATATTATTATATTATACATATATTTTTTTTCAATTATAATATTGAGCTTCTAGCGGAGAAAGTGATTATTTGACACGTACCATATACACTGCGCTGTATTACGGAGATATTATGCACATTACAGATAGATGAGCGTGCGATAAATGATTTAAATTTATATTTTGCCCAAAAACGGCCTCAGGGCTGGTAGATACATATTGCAAAACCGAACCGGTCGTTTTTTTGCTTCCTAGTTGAAAGCTAAGTTAAAATGTAGGACGTTTAAACGTTTGTCGAATTCTCAGAATCAGCTACCTATAAAGATACAGATTACAATATCAACTCATACACACTATGCTATGTCCTAATGGATTCGTTAACATCTTGAAATTGACTTGGCATATCAACGAAGCACCCGAGAGTTAATATAATGGCGTAATGCACATGACCAACAATAAATTAATATTAGGTACCTTATTTTTTTTTCCTTAAACATGAATCTTCGAAGAGACAAGTGTTGTTTTGCTTAACTCGTTTTTCACAATAATTAGCGTCTTCTCCTCGTCACGCTGCAATTACAGAGCGAGTGGATTAAACAACAGCATACAAACATGACACGCGAGTGATACTTAATTTGCATAGCAATATTGATTTCGTGACGGCTGAATTTTCACAGCAATATGACGTTAAACTGGAACTAAAACGAATCTAAGCTATATATTATATAACAGTCATCTTGGGTGTACATCCTGCAAGTGATTATATAGAGTAGTATAGTATTATATATATATATAGAAATAAGTGATGAACCTGTTTATAAAGTACCTATGAACTACCTATTAAGTATTATAGCTGTAGCTGAACGATCGTTAGAACATGCCGAAGCGCAAGTGAACCATGTCGGATATTCACTCGGATCATTAACGGCGGGAAATCAAATTCCAATTAATCCTATGTCCATCGACAACTGTAACGATAATCGATATGCCAGCCTAGACAACATTTAGAAAACGATAGTATATTCTTAAACTATTTTATAAAATACTATCATTATTCAAAATGTTATGTGAGGGTAGTTGGGAAATAATTATAAGACATAGTATTAAATATTATCCATACAAATAACATAAGATGTAGGTGCCATCATATAGATATTCATCAGGCGGTCGTCAACCGCACTTTCATTGCAGACGTTCGGTGGATTAGATTTTAATATCATACTAATAATACATGTTGACTGGTAGTCTTGGTATTGAAATTGAAACATATTGAAACTCACACATATTTTGTTCATAGAACGTCACTCAATCAGATGTTGCGACGACAACGGCCGTTTGTTGAGCAACAACCCAGATGTGCACTGTTTCCCGATTACGATCCCCGAAGATGACCCAGTATTCTCTAAGTTCCACAGGGAATGCATGAACTTTGTCCGTTCCACCACTGATCAGGAAACCGGATGCAACGCTGGAAACAAGCCTGCAGAACAAGTAAATAATATATTATTAATCTCGTTCACATTTTTCAATTTGATCACCTCTGTATATATAATAATCAGTATATCTACCTGTATATATGCTTGAAAACAAAGGTCGAGTAAAATTAATTACATTTTTGGACAACTTAAAAAAAACTATTTTCACGACTTACCGGTCCGAAGCCTATCATTAATAAGTTTGACTTATAAGTGAATACGTTTTTAGCACCTAAAGTTTAAGCCATAACAAATTGTAATAACAATTTTGCCCGTATAGAATATTAGACAGGTACCGAAATAGCGATGCTGTTTGTGGCACGCAAAAATTATGAGTAAATTATAATATTGCTTTTGGGTGTTATCTACAGTTAGTTGTCGTCTCGCACTGGATGGACGCTTCTTTCGTGTACGGTTCTAACCAACGATTAGCCGATACTCTCCGTGAAGGAATTGGTGGTAGGTTGAGAGTTGAGTTCAGAGACGGAAGACCATGGCCCCCAGCAGCGGCCAACAAGAGTGCCGTGTGCGATCAGCAAACAGAAGAAGAACCGTGTTACCAATTCGGTCAGTATTTTTGACGTTTGAGCGATGTTGGGTAAAAAATAAAAACTGTTTTTATAACACAAACCTGTGTGTCTCATCGTTTCAGGTGACCGAAGAGCCAACCAGAACCCACAGCTGACCGTTTTACAGATCCTGTTCCTCAGAGAGCACAACCGCATCGCCACGGTGCTGTCACACATCAACCCCCACTGGGATGACGAAACCCTGTACCAAGAATCCAGACGAGTACTGATCGCCGAATTCCAACACATCAATTACCACGAATGGCTGCCCATTATCTTAGGAACAGACAACATGTTGAAATACGGTCTGCTGTACAAGACTAAAGGATACACTAATGATTACAAAGAGAACGTCGACCCAAGTGTCATAAACGCTCACGCTCACGCCGCTTTCAGATACTTCCATTCGTCCATCCAAGGACAATTCCAGTAGGTTTTCCTTATCACACGCTCGTCAACCACGAGAACCGAATCTATTAAACACAAGCATTTTTTATTTATTTATATAGCTTGATCGGCGAAGACCGTAATCTATTGAGTGCTGTCAGATTATCGGACTACTTCAACAGGCCGACAATCATTGAAAAGGGATACAACTTCGATCACTTGTCGAGAGGTTTGACGACTCAGAGCCAAGAAGAAGTCGACCCGTTCTTCACCAGCGAAGTAATTATTAGACACTTTAAGACTAGTTACAATACCTTATACTGTGTGATTACTAATAACCGTTATGTTCATAGATTACAGACTTCTTGTTCAGAGCAGGCCGTCCATTCGGTCGTGACTTGAGAGCTATTGACGTACAAAGAGGCCGAGACCACGGTCTTGCATCTTACAACGATTACAGAGAATTTTGTGGTCTGCCAAGAGCACACAAATTTGAAGACTTTTCCGACTACATCGATGTTGAAGTGAGTACCGATTGTTGTTGTATCTATATTCAATATACCAATATACGTTTACAACTTGCACATTCTTAACAAATTAATGTTATTTTCTCATTTTAGCGCATTGAAAAACTCGCTCTCCTCTACAACCACCCAGATGATGTTGATCTTTCCGTCGGTGGTTCTTTGGAAGCTCATGTACCAAACACATTGGCTGGACCAACATTCTTGTGTCTTTTGACTGAACAATTTTACAGAACTAAAGTTTCTGATAGATACTTCTACGAATTGGGAGGACAAGTTGGATCCTTCACACCAGGTGATAAAATACACAATTATTATAAATTGTTAAACATTGTTAAACAATAACATTTTTGTTTTAAATTTAGAACAACTTAACGAAATCCGTAAGTCTAGTGTTTCAAGAATATTCTGTGATAACAGCGATGATTTACACACAATCCAATCTCAAGGCTTCTTGAAGATTTCTGAAAAGTGAGTAGTCGATATAAATAATAATAATAATAACATAATATAATATAATATACCTAACATTATCATTCCTCATTGTGTTCATTACTATTAATAGGAATCCTTTGGTGAGTTGCAATGATTACGATAGAATTCCATCGATCGACCTCAACTTCTGGAAAGAAGAATCATACAGTCACGCAGCCCCGCAATATGGTTACCAAGAAGATTACAAGAAGAAATAAATTAAACCAAACAACCAGTATTTGTAAATAATATACATTTTCTTCTATAAGGTTTCTTTAATTTTCTTTCTTCTATTCTCATCTTTAGATTCTTAACTTTCTTTAAAAATTCTTTGAAGATTCATCATATTGTTTTTTAACGCTCAAACCATATTTTTACGTATATTAATTATTATTTAATTGTTTGATTTTACATTATACGATTATTATGTATGTAAGTATTTTTATACTTATGTCATTAGTTTGTATTACATATTGTTTATTTGTATGGACAAATCAGCAATCTTAAGCATTGTTACCACAACCTCTATGATATTATATAAGTACCATAATGTAATTAAATCATACAAAATATTTTTATATATATCATATATATAAAGACTCAGAATTAATAACAATGTATAATAATAAAATTATATTTTTTTTCGTCATAAAATCAATTTTAAACCAGTTTAAGTGCCAGTAAATATCCAATGTCCACACCGCATATTCTTGTAAAGAGCATTTTTCAAAATTAGTTGTTTGAATGTAGATAACTACAGTTATTATGTAATTATAAAATTTAAACTAAGAATATTTTATTTAAATTATACACAATTTATTGAATTTGAAACATTTATCTGTATTATACATTATTAGACAAAAATATAAATGTAATAAAGTATACATTATACATCTTACGTCTTTATTTGTTCTTTATTTATATTATTAACGAATAATTGGTCAGCTAATAATGGTTTGTAGACTAAATCTGTTATAATATATTTATTGCTCATCAGTTTTTCTAGGATTGGCTCTTAAGTATACATCCGTACATCGTACTATTCGTATACTTATTCATAATTCATATTCTTCATTTTCTGTTTTCATACTTGTAAAGTTGTAACAAATAATTGTTAAGTATTTCCAGCAAAATAAACGATTTTCTCCACACATTTATTCGCAACATATCCCTTAAATAAACACTAGGTACAAGGTACCTATCTCCCCTAAATATCATCATCGGCTTGTATTTTTCCAGTAGCAGTTGATATAGAAAATTTTTATCTAGTTTCACAATACAGCAGATCATTAAATGGTGATCACGAAAAATGGTTATGTTTTTAGTTTTATTGTTGGTAATTTTAGATTCAAAGTGTTGAACGAATTGAGTTTAAGACTTTAAAATGATGTGTGTTTATTTTTTTAACCAAAAAATCTAAATATTTAGTGGTGGTACAGTATCCAGTTGCCCATATTTTTTAGTTTTATTAAAAAAACTCAATTTCTTATCACTTACCAAGCCTGGGCATGTTAATGATAGTTTAATTTGGTAGAAAACATTTTAAAAACTTTAAAGTTAAAAGTTATTCTAATTTTTTTTTTTTAACTCAGTTAAGTTAAAAGTTATTTGCAAACTTACAGTTAACTTAAGTAACCTATATATATATTTTTTTTAATATATAAGGACTAAGGAGCCAGTTATATAATGTAAAAATGTAAAATGATATACCTAAAGTAATTGTCAAATATGACAATTGTTATGCAATATATATCATCATTCATCAATAATGATTATATTATTATTTTATTATTTATAAATCAAAAAAATTGTATTTAATAAATGTAACTCGTTATTTATTTAGCTTATATCAACAAAAATATGTTAAGTTAAAAATTAAGTTAATGAAAATTAAATTTAAAAAGTTAAAATTAACTTAACTTAAATTTTTTAATTTGTTTATGCCCAGGCTTGTCACGTCTAGTAGGTATGGTCGTATTGACTACAATTTAAATTAATTTTTTTTTATTGATCTCAAAACATAAAAACCTGGCCAGGGTCTGTGGACATTAGTGTTATATAATTAGGTATTTTACAGTTATTTACAAATTACCTAATTTATATGTCAATTTTACATATATGTGTTTACAAGAATCTTTAAAATAATACACAATTGTCAATTACAATATAAGCAGATTGCAGATACAATACAACACAATACGATGCAATACAATACAACTGTCTTTTAAAGAACTAGTATCGAGTAAAAAGAACAAACATATTAAAATACATTTAAACTACTTTTTAATCACTCAAAACTCAAAAAATACTGTTGCTGGAGCTGTAATAACTGTTTTCCACCATGGTTGGAAACAAATATACCATCCCTCCCATGTCAGTGACAATTTTTGCATCAGCTGCACTCAAAATACCTTTTACTAAAATTGGCAGGTTTGTAATGCTGAATAATAAAATATATATTTTTTGTATTTGTTTCAGTATTATTATGGAGGCATAAATACCTAGTATATATATGCATAATTATAGTATAATATTAATATTATGGAGCCTACCTATAGTAGGTATAGCTATTTGATGTCATCCCATAACAAACGATCAACAAAAAGACTCATTAGGTACACATTTCTCCAAGCTCAAACTATTAATTTGGTTTATTTCCGACAGCAAAGTTCTTCAGAGAAAATCTTAAACCAAAAAATTAATAATTTTAATAACAACAATAAATTATTGGTTTCATTTTAAAATGTTTCACTTCATCCAACTAGGTAAACCGAAGTTATGTTTTATGTTTTTGCACCGGATACTAAACATTTGAATTTTTTAACTTTGTCATTGTCATATAAATTTGCAACTTGTCATTTATATTTTATGATCAAATTTATATTCTATTCAACTCAAGTAATTCAGGGGTGAGTGAAGATTAGTTTTCATCTGGCAACACCCTTTTCCCCACTCTGTGTTTACTTCTTATGTTGAAAATAGAGTTAAAAATGATCTTGTTGAAGTATAAATGTATAATAATAATCCTTTTTATGATGTAATTAAAACCATATAAAAACACCATAATATTATCATCTTAAATAATTATAATGAACGTTTAACAAAGCAAGTGATTGAGATTTACAAATAATTATCAATGTTTAACCTATGTTTATAGACAAAGAGTTGGAACCACTGTAATAACTTATTCCATACAGAACTTTGACATTATTCAAACAATACAAATAAATCATTTTTATTATTAAATATATTAAAACAGTTACCTTGGATAATGGATATAGGTATAATTTATTGTGGTGCTATACCAAAACTTCTTTATGAACGAAGTCTTATCTACGTTTTTCCAAATGTATACATCTCATTATGATTAAATCTAACAGTAACTTTAAGTCTTAACAAATTGTGAAGCAGAAAGCTCCTTTTTAAAGCTGGCTCTGATCTAAAGTCGACTGCGATAGGGGAAATAAACCATTATGTTTATCGAAAGTTACATGTGTCAACAACTCTCTTTCATGGACATTCTTAACACTGTCAAACCAGCGTCAAACTTTTTTTTACTAGTTGGGCAAATAGCTGGGGAATATATTTTTCTAGATCAATGAATCTAAATAACATATTTTTGCTATCCCTCAATTTAATTTGATTAAGATTATAAGAAACAAATTTAACCATACAACCAGCATTTAAAAATAATATTCATTTTCTTTTCTAAGGTTTCTTTAATTTTCTATTCTCTTTTCATCTTTAGATACTTAACGTTTTTTAAAATTGAACATGTTGTTTTTTAACACACAAAACATTTTAGTATGGATATTAATTGTTTGATTTTACATTACACGAGTACAATGTTTAATTATTTTTATACTCATGCCATTAATTTATACTACTTATTGTTTATTTATACAGAGAAACCGGTGCTTTGGCATTGATACCACAACCTATGTGATATTAATAAATTATACACATAATATTTTGTTATATATAGAGTAACATTTGTTAAATAGTCCTGTTTCACGTTATATATGTACCATAATGAAAACAAATAATATAAAATATTTTTAATATACAGTCAAAACTCTTTATAACGAATCTGAAGGGACCAACAGATTTCTTTCGTTATAGAGAGTTTTCGTAATAGAGAGGGTTTAAAAAAAAAAAAATTTTAATTATTTATGTATAAAGGTATGTGTACCTATGTAATATTAAATATCAAACACATCATTATTTTTACATTATTTTATATATATTTACGTATTACATTAAATTATTATTATTATTATACATACTTATTAAATATAATTTAATTTTTATACTATACATATTTATACTTTATTTAAAATAGTCTGTTATCTTAGTTTGGACTTTTTTATTCGGCATTATTACCGATTATTTTTATAGTTTATATATGTAATGGATACGATAACACGTAAATTGTATTATGAAACATAAAATATTGTTTCGTTATTGAGAGTGACTAATACGTTATAGAGAATGAATTGTCTAATGGGTTATATAGCAAACCAACCATTATTATGTAAAGTTTACGTTATATAGAGTTTTTCGTTGTAAAGAGTTTCGTTATAAAGAGTTTTGACTATAATATATTATTTTTTATAAATACTCGGAGATAAAAATGTATGATAAAACTTTTTTTTTCATCAAAAACAATTTTAAACTTATTTATGTACCAGCAAATATCCAATGTCCACGCAACATATTTTTGAAGAGTATCTTTCAAAATTAGTTGTTTGAATGTAGATAACTTCAATTAGTATGCAATAATTATGGAACTACAACTGAGAGTATTTCATTTGAATTAAACATAATTGAATTTGAAACATATCTATATTATACATTATTTGACAAAAATAAAAATTTTACATTTTACGTCTCTGTTTGTTCTCTATTTATATTATTAACTACTAATTGGTCTGCAAATGATTCGTAGACTGAATCCGTTGCAATATATTTACTAGTCATCAGTTCTTCTAATAATGGTTTAAGCAAGGCACATGATTCTCTAACCACTGTTTCTCCAGTATTCATCTAGGAATAATAATAAAATATAGTCATAACATTAATAGTAAAACCTAATAAATTGCTAAAAAGTTATTTTAATTACTTCATAATCACAAAAACGGATTCCAGTGCAATATGATCTAGATGCCCTACCAAGAACTGCTGTCATGGCATAAATATGTACGATTACTGTTGACAACCTTTCCATAAGCATTTGATTATCGGTGCTCAGTTGACCAGCAGCATGGCATTGGTTAATTATAAATTGAAATTTCAATACATCATACTCAAGAAATTTCGCGGCATGCTGAAATAGAAAAAAAATTAGTTCTGCCACAAATAACATAGATCATTAATCTTAATAATATTATACTATATACCTTAAGTGCGGGATGAAGGAATTGTTGAAGACCATATTTTAAGCTTGGCTCATTTCTTTTCATCATTATATTTCTATAAGCTGTAGTCAGAAATGAAACATTTTCTTCATAATCAGATTAATTGAAAAACTCAACACCTCGACTACTAATAAAATTAGCTAATTTCATACTTCCTTCCAAACTTTCAACTAAATCTTCCACCTCATTGCATAAATTTAAAAATGGTTCTTTTAATGAATTTCTTCCATTTACCATTTTTAAATCCATCAATATGGTGTCAACTGTTTGACGGGCAAATAGCTGTATGGAAGCCGACTCTAGCTCAATGTCTGGATCATCAAATCCATCAGTCATCCATGTGGTCAGATATATCATACTTTCGAGTGTATAGATGTTTATTAACGATTTTGCAATTATTTTCAGAACAGAATCATACTCTCTCAATTTTAGATTTAACCTTGTTTTTGGTATTATATTCTGAACGGTTGCTTGAACAACTCTCTTCAATGACGTAGCCAATGAGGAACACATGTATAATTTACCCCTGTACATAATTTTTGTTAAATTAACATTCTCCATTACATCATCTGGTGTTACGACTACCTTTCTCAATTCTAAATTTTCCCCATTGACAAAAGTTTTATCTTTTTCAACTATGAACGCATTACTTCCAATAACAAATAACAAGAATACATCTGCTGAATTTTTCACAGAGCCTGTGAGTTCCCAGCTCTCATTGGGCAGTTGTGTACCCATTACAGTATCAACTTGTAATGTGCATAAAGCACCTGACGCAAGTAATGGTAAATATTTTGATTTTTGACTAGGCTTACCAAAAGTTTTGATTATGTCGACGCTGAGTGTGTGATCAAACACAGACTTAAATGTGTTGGAATCAAAGAATTCAAATACACGAGCTATTTCAGTGTCAGATAAGTTGAGGCCTGAACTTGGGTATGGAGCACTCATGCCAAACAGTCCTAGTTGCCGGACAGTGTCCATTTTCGTACAATTGTGCTGGACTTGTTGTACTCGGGATTCCAGGTCTTTATACCTCTCCAGATTAAGTGTTTCTGGATATGTAAGGACTTCGATATCATACTGACCAGCGTATATTGATTTCAAAAACGGTAAGCGACGTGGTTTTCTCACTATATCCGGAACAGGTATTGGTTTTATTTTATCTAGTCCATATGAATCGTTTGTGGACATGCAACGAATAATAATTTTTTGATCAAGTTTCCTGAAGAATACACGGCGATTCATAACATTCCACATTGTAATTTCTAAATGAACGACTTACAACTATATAACATATACATAAGTGAATTTTATATCAATACACAGTTAAAATTAAAAATTTACAGTAAAAACATGGATATTTAAACAATTAAATTAAACATTTAAACGTATGTTTACGTATCTGTGACTAAAAAGTAAGAAATTTAATATTTTTTCAAAAAAACTTATCACTTACAGTGTCCGGCAGTGATAAGATCAATATTATGATAATTATCCATGAAGTTATGTTTTTACCACAGATTAATATAATATAATAATATATTATATTATAATCTGTGTTTTTACCATTGCCATGAATTGTTAATAATTAACCAGATATCACGTTGTGAATAATAATCCAGAACCTACCTGAACTGTGAAGAATACTGACTGCCTATAGCCTATTACACATTAAAATAGGAGAAGTCAAATTCAAATTTATAATTATTAATCTATAAATGTTTTTAAAATGTTTACCTGTTTCAAAATGAATTACGTCATCTGAACTGTTACACAATTAAACTACGCCTGTCTATAACTATACTGTATACACGTCTATAGTATATTTTAATAAGCTAGAGGAACTCCTATGCACAGACCTATAAACTAAGTTAGTTTCTAGGTCAATGCTCCTATGTGGCGAGAGCATTTACATAATATAATAATAATTATTATGTTAAAATATATAATTATGTCAATGGGCGAGAGTAGTTATGGAAATTAGTAATTACAATTTTATTAGACTTAATACAGATACTTTAAACTAACTCGTAACTGGTTTGAGTAAATCATAGATAGGGAAAGAGCCCTACATGGGTATAGAACAATGGTGATCCATATAGTTGAGTGATGGATAAGGAAAAGGGATAATTTTTGATTGTTGATTTGATACAATTGGTTTTTGAATCATCCAATTGGAATACCTATTTACCAATTTCAATTTATTAGCATATCAAACGTATATAGGTAATCATCTAGATTCTCAATCTTTTTATTATTATAAAAAGTAACTTTTTTCAATTATAGTGGATTAGATGTTTGTACATAAGTCATTAAATTATGGCCTTTGGCTTATAGTTTATACATGGCGACAGTATAGTATTAATACACAGTAAGAATAATCGTTATATATATTAGGTATGGTATAATGTTATCATACTTAAGTGCATTCTGGATATAAGGCATAAAATGTTATAAATGAGAAATAGTCAACTTCAAAAGTTTTTTTATTATTTAAAACAAAAGTATGTTTATTATTTTTTATATTATTTTATACATTAAGTAAATTTGGTAGCTTTAAATAAACTTGTAGATGGATCCCCCCCCCCCCCAAGTGTGGAAACACTCTGATTTGGGGGGAGAGGGGGTATTTTTATTTAAAATTCGAGATGGGATTTGATAGATTTCGATAGCAATGTCTTTTTAGTTGACATAATGACATTTTTTTTTTTTAATATTTATTAGAAATAAACAATCTATACAAGAAATGTACAATAAGCTTATGTGTTAAGAGAATACATGGCATGAAAAATTGAGTAAGAAGCCACCCACTGGCAACACTTAGCATGACTTATTTATATTTATGTTTTGTTTTTTTTTTCTCATGTTGAGATTAAAATGAATATATACATGCATGAACAAAGTAAATTTTAAACTTATAATTGTAGTAGGTTACGACACCATTTCCTTTTTAGCCAGCGCCTTGGATTCCCTGGGAGGGTTAGAGAGGAGAGGTTTTTAATAAGAGGATTTTGGTGGGATAGAAGTCGTGTGCGGAAGCGCAAGTAAAATGATTGAGCTTCTTCATTGATGGTTTTTAAGTGAAAATCATTATGCAATGTTAGGTTAGAGACGTATGGTGGTGCATTGGACGGACGACGAAGAGCTAAATTTGGAATACTTGGATTTTATTGGTATTGGATTTTTTTGCTGTGCCCCAGAGCTGAATGCCATAAGTCCAAATAGGTTTTAGGAGGGTTTTGTAAATTAGAAGTTTGGTTTTCAGATTTGTTTTATTATTTCTCGTTGTAAGAGGGTTGAGGATGCGCATTCGGGCGTTAAGAGTCAGTCTTTTGGTTCTTATATGATTTTTCCATGTTAGTCGTTTGTCAAAATTGAGTCCCAGGTATTTTATTGTGTCCGATGTGGGAATTGGGATGTTATTTAATGAGACAGTTGGACAAATGCCCTTCTTGAGAGTAAATGTAGTGTGACTTAATTTGTTTTGGTTTATTGTGATATGCCATTTATCGTACCAGTTAGACATTAGGCGGAGGTGGAGTTGCAGGTTTGATAAGGCGGCTACTGGATTTTCACTAATTGACAAGATTACTTCATAGTTCATCGTCAGTATAATCAGCCACCATGGTTTGAGGCGTGGTGGGTTGATCGGCGACATATATATTGAATAGAGTTGGAGATAGGATGCCCCCTTGTAGGACTCCAGCATTGATTTTGGTTATTTCTGAGTATGCAGAGCGATAATTTACTTGAAAGTGACGATCGGTTAAGTAAGATTTGATTAGAAGGAAGAGCGGGTGGGGAAGAAAACTTTTGAGTTTGTACAGTAATCCGTCATGCCAAACCCTGTCAAACGCTTGAGATACATCAAGAAAGACGCAGGTGCAGTTAAGTTTTTTTACCAACGAGAAAGATATTGCATCGACAATCCTATGAGCTTGATGAATGGTACTCTGTGAGGGTCTGAATTCAAACTGAGTGTTCGGAAGAATATTGTTCGTGACAATATATGGAGTCATTCGTTTGAGGATAAGTCTTTCGAAAATTTTCGATAAGAAGGGCAAGAGACTTATCGGCCTGTATGAGGATGTGGGTCGTCCAAGGGTTTATCAGGTTTAGGAAATAATATAATTTTTGAGAATTTCCAAAGGATCGGAAAGTAGGAGAGTCTCAGGCATGCATTAAATATATATGTTACCAGTACTATTGCTTTTTTGGGGAGGCATCTAGCTACTTCTGCCGTTAATAGGTCGTAACCCGGCGATTTTTTTAAGGAGTATTTTAGGATAGCCTGTTTGATTTCATTGGGCGTGAAATGTTTTTCAAGATGATTAGAGGTTGAGGGAAGGTCCAAGCCAGCCTTTACCTCATCAAAAAATTGAGGTATGAATATGTTATGATGTGGTTGGAAGGTTTCTTGAACATAATGACATGTGTGGCTATCTGAGATGAATTCGCTGTTTAGGGTGCTGGGTGAGGTAGTACTGAATATTATTGGATTTGTATGGCATTTTTAGTAGTAGCTTTTAGTAGAGGTACAAAGGTTTCAATGTTTAGGGCTTTGTGCAATGATAGATTTAAGACATACCTAGGTACTGTGAACTTTATAAGTTAAAAATATTTATTAGCATATTTATATACTTATGATATTTTAGTAAGTCTATTCATGTAAAAATGAAGTATAAGTAATGTTACAATACATTTAAAGTTTAGAATATACTGATTTGTGTACCACCATTTCCTTCTCAATTTGATCCAGTGATGCACAACCTGAAATCATCATGTACTTTAGTTGAAACTCAATGTGATTTAATATTATGTATAATTGAATAAGTAATTACCCGCTAAAGCCATGGCGTTATCAAATTCATTAACAACAATACCAAAAACGTCTTCTGCACCCTTTTGACCATCATATGTCAAGCCCCATAATATAGGCTGAGCTAAAAACACCTAGAAATAAAATAACATTTTGTACAAACAAATATTACAACATCACAACTTATATGTAAATTTAAAGTTTTAAAAGCAATTAAAGCATATGATTCAAGCAGTAAATATTGTAAATTTGGAAAGTACCATTTTAGCTCCAAGAGCTAAAGCTTTGAACACATCAGTTCCATGCCTTATGCCACAATCGAGATAAATGTCAACACGATGTCCAACTTCTCGTGCAATGCTTGGCAAAGCCTCAATCTAAAATAAATTGTATATTATTTAAAGTAATGAAGGAGAAAATACTTTTTAATCACTCAAAACTTAAAACCATACTGTTGCTGGAGCTGTGTCTAACTGTCTTCCACCGTGGTTGGAAACAAATACACCATCACATCCCAAGTCGGCAGCAATTTTTGCATCAGCTGCACTCAAAATACCTTTTACTATAATTGGTAGGTTTGTAATGCTAAACAATAAAATATATTCATATTTTTATTTGCATCAGTATTATCATGTAGTCACAAGACATAAACAATTTATGCATAATATATAATACAATAACCTTTTCAGCCATTTGATGTCATCCCATACCAAACGATCATCAAAAAGACTCATAACATATTTTGTCAAGCCTGAACCATTAGTTTGGTTCATTAATGATAGTTCTTCAGAGAAATTGCCTAGCCTAAAATACAATAATTTTAATGAAATCATTAAATTATGAGTTTTGGTTTCAATTGTAATCTTACTTCAACGGACTTGGTAAACTAAAGTTATTTTTTATGTCTTTATATCGGATACCAAACACAGGGGCATCGACAGTCAACACGAGTGCTTTGTATCCAGATTTTTCAGCTCTTCGTATTAATGATGTGGTTAAAACCCTATAAATGTACCATATAATCTCTGTATTATTCAGCTTCAATAAATATAATATTTCAATAACGAAGCAAGTATTTGAGATTAGTAATTTGTTATTCATGTTTACCTATCTTTATAGATGTACAGTTGGAACCATTTCACAGTGTTTGGTGCTGCAGTGGCAACTTCTTCTAAACTGCATGTTGACAATGTTGAAAGTATAAAAATTGCACCGTGCTTTCCAGCCGCTATTTAATTTATTTATTATAGGACCATTGATCATAATATGTATTTTATTATAGTTTTTATCAACTATAGTGGTACAATTTACAACAGTGGTATCATTTAGGGATAGGCAAGGTGGGAATTTGCCGTCTGATTTTAAAAGCAACTTGTTGGGCCCTTTTTGTTTAACCATTTTTATATTTAAAAAAAAAATTATATTGTGTACTAAGAAATAATTGTCCTGATTTATAAATTGGTAATTACTAATTAATAGTTGAAATAAATGTACATAAAGACGCATGCAAGTTGGGAGGTATATATGTTATACTGTTATATGAAGGAAAATGAACATAATATAATATATAATTTTGGGCTGGTGAGCGGTTTTTTTTCAGTTACACTTTTGGGTGGGTCATAACATTTGCCCTGACTACTGATTTACATAACTATTAGTTATATTACCTCTAGCAGATGCACATTCTCCATCTTCATGAGCCATTTTATGCATTGCACAAGGAGATATACCTATAGGTACATTCACTCTATCACCTTGAATGATGATGCTTAAATCTCTATTTCGTACATCACGTAGCATCCGTGGTACTATGCGCAATCTTCAAATCATATTGAAAGATTTAATTTTTCATGATGTTAAAAATAAAAAAAAACAAATAAACTTACTTATTAAATGCTTTATTATTAATTGAAAGGGTGTACTCATCGCATGCCCCACTTTGATAATATCCAAGAACAGTCCGTGGCAATGTACCAACAGCATAGTTTTCATAATCTTTGATAGACACAAATTTATTGGACATTTTGTGTTAATGGATGGATTAAGAATATTTAACACTGACTTTTAAATATTCAACTAGTTGTGACTTAGTATTAATCAAAAAATTAAAAATGATTAACCATCGAAATGTGTGTAAGATAAATGCTTCAAAGGTCAAGGACTGATCTAATTCAGATTAATTATTTACGATTAGAACAAAATTATCTTCTTCTAATTAATTTTAGTATTGACCAAATATTTATTATTTACCTGATATTAAAAAATAACATAATTAATAGTTTAAATTATATTGTATTACATAACACATTTTATTCTAACCTACAAACTTTTTATCAGTGTACTGTATAGTAATCCATTGGGTATTAAGTTGTTTACATCTTAATAACCAAATTACTGTTTTCTTCCATTCAAAGTACAAGCCAGAAAAGCAATAAATTAATCAAATATTAACAAAACAGTGTTTCAATATTGGAAAATATAAAGGAATTGAAATAATAATAACATAAATATTAAAACATAACAACATATAATTTAATCTGCATAGTTGTACAAGTTGTTACAAAGTAGAACAAATAAAGTTAATGTTGTTATTTTTGTACGAAGGAAGTCAGTCGATGGAGTAGATTTTTATTCAAATAGACCTGGAAATAAAAAATTAAACATGTTATAAAAAGTGAATAAATGAAATATAATATAATTAATTTTAGATAGAGAAGTGTTAAAAATCAATATTATATTAGAATATTTGATTGAAAGCACTAAACCCAGTGTTTCTTAACGTATTTTAATCCTACACAATAATCTATAACTCCATAAAATATTTTGGTAAGTACCTATTTTTGTGATATTTAAAGTATAATTCATATTAAGTAGCCATATTATGATATTTTTTAATACTGTCTAATTTGAAATCACTTTGAATATAATTGTTAAAAAACTGAATACAAACAATAATTTCAATTATATACAGGTAACTAAAGGACAAACACAGTGTTCTAAACTGAAGTTTAGAAACCTAATGCTAAGGATCAAGTTAAAATTGAAATCATAAAATCTCTATAAATATATTATTTGAGCAATTTCATAAATGTTGTCACATTTATAAGGTGTTAATTTCCTCATATAAATTGTACTCATCAAAGTAGTTATGATAATACATGCCAAATTTGATATTAATCATTGGAAATAGTCCTTATTCCAGTATCTTTGTTAGTATATAGTAAATGTATTACCAGCAAGACCACTTGTTCACTAATCTATCTTTTAAATTAAATTAGGTTACAAAACAATCTCAAAACCCTAGGTAATAAAAAATTGTAGTAATTATATTATGGTATAATAAACAACATAATTAACTACTCTATTTCATAGAAGTTTACCAACCCAACCAAAATAACATGTGACACACCCTCTAAATAAAGTAAGGGTTACCAAGAATAAATAAATAGGTACGATTACAAGAAATCAGTACAGTTGGTACACTCCCTCAAAATCAAAGCAATGTTCAACAATTTTATTAGAATATAATAGAAGTGGAGAACTACGCGATAAGTGAAGGCAAGGGTGGTATGCAACAGTAATACTCATTCCATGTACTTATTTCACTGATAATATGCCATCTAATATTTTGATCATGCCATTCATGTATCATTTAAATCAAATACTGTGTTAGTGATCATTTGTTGCCCACCATCAGCAACCCACTACAAAGACCTTTTGACTAAAGGGGTCCAATGGTTCAATATTAGAGCTTCTATGTGTGGACATAAATGGTATAGAGTAAAATATAAAGAAAATGAGTATAAACAATGTACTAACCAAAGCCCATATCATCATCTTCCTCTTCACTCTCTTCTTCTTTCTTCTCTTCTTTCTTTTCTTCCTTGGCTTCAGCCGCTGGGGCAGCAGCTGCAATTGGTTATTAATTAATACTAACTCTTACTTTCATGAAAAAGATTTCTGTTAAAATAAATTATTAGTACCTGCGGCGCCTGCAGCCGGTACAGCTCCTACTGCTGATCCAATGTTTGAGATTAAATCTTTAACATTAGCGTTTTCTAAAGCCTTGGCAAACAAACCAGGCCAGTATGGTTCAACTTCAACGTTGGCGGCCTTTAGGATTGTTTGGATTTTTTCTCCCTATAATAATATCATAAATCAATTATATGCTATACATAATTAAAACAGCAGCATAAGTTTGTTTTTAGGAAAGAATAATCCTACCTACCTCAGGAATTTACAACAATATTCAGATTGTTGTTGGCGTATAAACAAATCAAATTATAGACAAATAATTAATCTAATGTCAGGATATCTTACACAAAATAGTATGCATTTTACGGTTAGTACCTATACATATGGCATTTGAATTAATGTTAACCATATAAAAACATGCAAATATATCATGTGTGTCTAGATAGTTTGAAAACAATCAACTAATATAATATCGATATTCATAGAACGATGTTATTACAATTGAATCGTAAAAGTTTCCAAACACGCATTAAACTTACATATCGAAACATATTGATATTATACCAAAATAACGTTTTGACAAAAAGGTGGGAACAATATGAAAAAAAGTAAACATAATAATGTAATCGATATATATAGCGAAAGTTAACTTAAGTAGAAGAATCAGTCGGCAATACATTGCTTTGTATATTTTATTTGGTTGATAATGCGGTCGTCGAAATGGCCAACGTGGTCCTGAAGCTTGGGGGGGCATCATCGCGGTAAACCAAAAACGTTGGAAACGATCGTCTAGCGAATTTCCGGCAACGGGACAGAAATGTGCCACTAAATTCGGGATCTCTTACAGGAGGGTAGCAGAAGCAGACCATCGCGCATAGAAGTTAGGAAACCGAAGAGACTTTCCGACATTCTATTTACCACAACATACATAATATAAGTATCGACATTAATGTCGATTGAGGAATATTTACCGTGATATCGATGTCGTCGTCGGCCAAGATCAATGAGGCGTAAACGCAGGCTAATTCGGGTTTGGAGATGGCCATCGTTATTGGATCGAAACGGATGAAAATTCGTTAAACCTGAGAAATCGCAAGTCGCCGTCGGCCTTAGCTCTGCTGAGAACAAGCAATTAACGCGAAAGAAGAGAGGTATCGCTGTTGTGCTCGTGAGTCGTGGTGTTTGAAGTGCGTTCCGGTTGTTGGTACCGGGTCGTGGAGGGGATTTTGGACGAAACGGCGGACGTAAGTGTAGCCAACGTGACGGCGTTGCTTTTGAAAATAATAAATATACATAATATTATAATATTATTTGATGATTCGGTCGATTCATACTCGATTTATTGCATACATCTTACTCATTTGATTTAAATAAAATATTTTGAATATTATACTAAATAAAATCTTTATTTAATTACAAAATACATTAATAACTACTAAATAGTTAATGTGTATTATGTGTTGTTGTTGTAATTTTGTTTATTGTTAAGTTTTTTCACGGTCTTAACCTATCTAATATTATCGTGGTACTAACTTTTATGTTCTATGTTTTTTAATTTTTATCACGTGGTTTTTTTTAAGGAGATAACGGAATGATGATACTGTTGGGTTTTGATAAAAATAATTCTAATTGATTACAATTAAAAATACAAATTTACTATTATTGTGTTCAGTAATTTGTAGAATATACTGCTATTTTTACATTCTCAATTATAGATCTATACATCAATGCCTAACTTAGTTCAAACAACTATTAAAAACGACTTACCTTCAAAATCAAATATTATTTAAAATAATTTGTTTGTTTTTACTTATTTGAAAACAATATTATAAATAATAAATAAAATTTTGAAATATGGGTGACATTAAAGAAGAAGACTGGAATTTACCGGAATGCAAATACGAATGTGAGGCCTGTCAAAAATGTTTAATGTTTATGTATTTTACCTAGTTATGGTTCGATCACAAATGTAAGTTAGTTTGTAAAATTTCTGGTTTATTAATTCTGAAGTAGAACACAAGAAAAATAAATATCAAATAATTAGATATCATATTTTTGTATTATATAGGCAATAGGCATATATTATATTATATTCATTGTTTATTTTTATTTGTCATTAATTTATCTATACGAGATGTACACTGCCTACAGCTCTTTTTAAAATTATAGTTTATTTTATCAAGGATATTGCTAATTAATTAGTTTTGAGTTAAAGTTTCTAAATTTGGGTAAAATTAAGTTTCGTATTTTATACAACAATTCTTGAAAAATAGTGTCTTATTGAAATGCTAATAATTAATAAGTATTAAGTTATATCAAAAAATAAATGAACAGTGAATATCTCTTGTTAAGGTGACTTAACCGTTCTAATTACCATATTGAATACTTTATAAGACAAAAAATCATAACTCTGTTGTTAGTTATTGAAAATTAATTAGTTACCTTACTCATATATACTTTGTCTCAAAAGAGATCAATCACTTATTTCCAGTGTTTGGAACGTTCACTAAAAAAATCAATTTGTACATGTTCACTTTCAGTTATCAAGGAATTTGTTTATGGTCACATGGTTTTTTCAAATGAATGCTTTCATGTTCACTTTCATTGAAAAAATGAATGCATTCTCTCGGTTGTTCATTTAATTTTTTATAAAAGTAATTTTAATAAGAAAATATTATGATATAATATAATGAATCAATATATTTTAAACAAATATTTATTAAATGGCAAATAAATTGAGCGTCTTAAAAATCATTCAATTTCATTAAACATTGTTCACATTCAATTTCAAAAACGAATGATGTTTGTGTATCGTTCACTAAATATAAATCTGATCATGTGTTCATGAACGACATTCTTTTCAAACACTGCTTATTTCGCCTCACGAATGATTGGCGCATCATGATCCACATGATCATGCTAACACCAGCTAACACTTGGTAGGAGATGCACAGCAATGATGAAAATCAGTTGGTCAATAATTGGTTATTCTCTTTTGAGACAGAGTATAATTTTTAAATTGTTTTATTGTCTATACTATATGCTATATTAAGCAATATCAATGTGAAGTAGTTTTGTTACCCAATTTAAAAAAAATTTAAAATCGTTTTTGTTACATTATTTAAAGGCTAATTTTGAATTAATTACCTAATACAAATTAGTTACATTTGTGATAGGATTGTAAATATTTTGATTCTTATCTAAAATTATAAAGACTAAAGGAGTAAAGAGGTATCAGTACATAGAACTAATGTTGCCACGAATTCATTACCACACAATCTACCTTTCCACTCATACCATAACATTATATTACTCTCACACAACATAAACGCTTATTGTATACTATTGAATATGTTCTATTTTAATAAAATACAAAAATCCCTTTGAGTGTTCTGTTAACAATTTCTTCATGAATCATGTCATTTTTTAATGTTTGATGTAGGGGTGTCCAACCTTTTGTGAAGACGGGGCCACATTATGTAGGTAGAAGTTGTTGTGAGCCACATACCTTTTTTAATTATAATACATCCAAATTTAATGATTAAATTATATTCTATAATACAATACATTTTTTTTTTAATTTTACAATAGTGAATAATAAGCAAAAAAAATTTTACAAGTATTAATATTTAATTATAAGTACACAGAAAAAAATATTTATTTATTATAAAAAAAAAAGTTAAAAGTCATTGGTTTTATTTAATGTGAAATTTGAAATTGCTTTTTTTGTGAAAGTAATGAATCAATATCTGGATTGATTGAAATTGTGGCAATCCTTAAGCAGCGATAAAAACTCGGACGTGTGCATCTGCCCTTACAGTTTGGTGGAGGTTTTATATTCTTAAAATAAATTTGTTTTTGTACTATTAATTAATATATTATATATAATTAATTCATGGTTTTTAAATTGAAGTGAAGGCCACATTAAAATCTACCGTTGGACACTCCTAGTTAAATGTTTAAATTTGTCTTGGATTTTTCGATACCTATTATACTGAACTTTTACATGAATTATTTTTATACTATAGGTTGGTTTTTCATGAATCGTTAATACTTTAGAAAACATTTAAAAGTTATAGTATGTTTTAACATTATTTTTTTTTAATTTACCCATTTGTTTCAGATCTGGACCATACAGCAGATATTCAGTAAGTATTTTTTTTTTAAAGAACATCAATACTTATAAGATAATATTTTTAAGTAAGAAGCAACAAATAATAATAACGACTAAATAATGTCTTATTTATTATGTATAATAAAAGAGTAATTGTTAATGAATTTAAGATTTTTAATTTTTTTTTTACTTTTTTAGAATACACGCTTGGGGAAGTACTTTATCTGAAGCATTTGAGCAATGTGCCAATGCTATGTTTCACTATATGACAGAGGTTGATTATATTGAAATGAAAGAGTCATATGACATAGAAGTTGAGGGTCACGATATGATGACTCTTTTGTACAATTTTTTAGATGAATTGTTGTTCATATTCAGTGCTGAACCTAATTATATTGCAAGAGTAAGCTATTCAGTTCATACTTTTCTAAATCTTAAAATACTTTAGTCTGTTGAAGTTAAGAAATTTAGTCATCTGTTAACTTGTGCACAGGGGTGTGTCAATACTGCACGGCAGGTGTAAAAATAATTGACAAATGGGGGTGACAAACAGGTGTGACGCTGTCCAACAAAAAGTGGTCCTAACCTAACGTTTCTTAACTTGAGCAGAGTATGTGCCTTATATAATAATTGTATAATATTTCAATTTAGAAAGTAAAAATAGAAGAATTTGACACAACAACATTTAGAATTAAAGCTAAAGGCTTTGGAGAAGAGTTTAAACTTGGAAAACATCCTCAAGGAACAGAAGTTAAAGCCATAACATTTTCAAATATGCAGATACATGAAAATGAAGGGAAATGTGAAGTGTTTGTAATTTTGGATATTTAATAAATACTTATGTTTTTGTTTATTATTGAGTTTTTGGGTATAAGTATAACCTGTAAGATCACAATAAATTAAATTACTATATTAGAATGTTATTTAAATATATAAATTAATTTAAATTTTGTATTGCAAGTATTAATAATAATGTAAGGGATCTGAGCCCGCAATATGTTCTTTCACATTTCTTCGTAATATTATTTTTGTATCATTAATTATTCTTACATTTTTCTTTGAATGAGTACTATTTGGATAGTAATAAATAGATTTGCTGTTTTCCAAATTTGCAATTTGAATTCTATTTTTTGATATTTTATTAGTATACCTAGTAAGTAAATAGTATTAGTATTATACTATCAAAGTTATAAGTACACAAAAGTAAACTATTTTTACTTTTTAGAGGTTGTTTTTAAGTTAGTGGGTACCAAAAATATTTAAATAAAGAACGAAGAAGAAAAAATAAAGATGGTGTCGTGATCTAAACCAAAATTAATTAATAACTATAAATTAAACTAACTTCTGTTATAAAGTGTTGCTATTGGGTGGCTTCTTTTTTCAAGCGTCGCATGTCAAATAAATGTATATCCGCATACATGCTTATTGTAAATTTAAATTACAGATTGTATGTTTTTAAAATAAATTAAAAAAAAAAAAAAATAAAGAACAACAAATTTACTTGTCAAACAAAGAACATCATAATATTTATTGAATGTTTCATTTAAGCTTTTTTGTTTATAACACCAATTTTGATATAATAATTAATTAAAAATCAATATGAACTAAAAAAATAAAATGAACATTTTTTTAACATCTTCAATAAAATATTGGTTGTTTTTTATTTGTCTCAATAATTTTGTCTGAAGTCCCCCTTTTAATATTTAGTGATTCAATTATTAATATTATTAACCACATCATTTATTATAATAATGTAAATAATACATTTATAAATATGCAAATATATACAGAAATATTATTGCATTTCCAATTGCATAGGTACTGTAGGGTACAAGGCTGATGATAGGACATACATAAGTACATCAAGATAAGATTGATTTAGTAATAAATAATAATAATTTAATTACAATATGATAAAATTAGCGAGGAAAATGATGGGGCATACGTAAACTGCGTCCAAATGACTTTTTTTTTTGTAATCTGCGACCGAATTTTTATCTTAGTTAAAAAGGTATAGTGTAAACTGCGCCCGACTTATTAACTTATTAAATTTTCACCTATCAAAGTCCCTATGTTTGACGATTGTGTACTTTTTCAAGTATATCACAGACATTTTATTTTCCAATTGATGAATATGTATCCACCAGATGTTATTATTTGTAATATTTATATATAATTATTTTAATTTTTAAAATTATATTTTATTTTAATTCCTAATATGTTATAACTTATAACAATATGACGTTATTATTTGTAATATTTGTTCTACTTTGCTTTTTAAAATGATATTTTATTTTTAATTATTCATATTATATGGCTGTAACGAATTAAGTATGAACCGTTTAAATTCCAAAACTCTTAATAAATATAATAGTAGTCAAATTCAAATTGACGAATATGTATCCGCCATATGTAATTATTTGTAATATTTATAACTATTTTAATTTTTAAATTTATATTTTATTTTCAATTATTCAAATTATATTGCTGTAAGTTATTAAGTATTTTACCTGTAATTTTACCCGGGCGCACTTTACATGTCACTTTTTTACTCTTGTTAAAAACTCGGGCGCAGTTCACATGTGTGATTTTGTGTTCACCTGTATTTTGGGCGCAGCTTACAATCGCTGAAATGATGAGTTGTGCCAACTTGAACCAATTTGACACACTATGTTGTTTAAGTCATGAATAAGCTACTATTGTAGTTTAAATAAAAAATCAATTTAGGGTTTCCCGACAGAGCGGCGAACATAACTCAAATAAAATGTAATAGTTTTAGTTAGTAGATAGGTACTGATCAATCACTATTGTCGTATTATCCAGTAAACATGGTAAGAGCATAATATATTAATTTTCTATAGTTACAATATTGGAATATTACATTTTGACGTTAAAGTAAACGAAATTGATATTCGTTAAATTCCTTTTTTTTTATGTTTAATTTGTAAAGTATTCTGTTCATATGTACAACAATTATGGCAGGTATATAGTGTATGCAATTATGGCGTGATTTAGTATTTCGTGAGGCTATTGCTTGATTGCCTCACAAATTATACGACCACTTACAAAAAAGGTAAGGTCAGGTTAGGTTAGTCCTATTTATGATATCAACTATAGAAAAATAAATAAATGGAATTTTTGCTTATTTTTTTTTGGACAAGTTTAAAAAAACTAAGTCTGAAAATATAAATATATATTTACATCGATTTAATAAATGTATTTAATTTTTATATAACGTACATTATTTATATTTATTTTTATAATGTAAATTATTATTTATTAATATTAACAATAAAAATATTTAGTAGGTAGTAAGTATTTTTGTAAATTTTTCGGTTTATAAGCCATATTTTAACATCATAGGTATTTTAGTGATTCCACATATTTGAAGGTTTTTAAGAGTATGAAGTCTCTATCCCTGAAAGTAATTGCTAATACCTGTTTACACAAATTCATTACTTAATGTAAGTATAAAAAATAAAAAATTAGAAAACCCCAACTAATATTTTTATTCGAGTAGGTATAAGATGGCTCACGGAAAACCAAAAAATCGTAGTTTGAAAAAAAATAAGATTTTTAACCTATCACCGTTACCTAAATTATTACGGAAATCTCCTATTCTATAATTCAAAATTTTAATGTAATATGCATTTGAAATGCTCATCTACAGTCATCTTTAAGCGGTTCATTAAAAAGCCATACATTTGGATGATTGATATGGCTTAGTGTTGTAAATGTATTAATCCGACCTTCCAGAATATTATTCGTTTTACCTAGTTTTACCCAGTATTAGTTAGTACTTGTATAAAAAAAACAAATTGATTCAGGGGGAAATGTCCAGCACCGATATCAACGAGGTGCGAGAGAGGAATTCCAAATACCGGTGAGTGTACCATAGGTTTTGTACAAAAATATTATTATTAGCAATTATTTTTGACCAATAATTCAATGACATTGAAGTTGTAAATAAAAAATAGTTCGAATATTGGTGGGTTGTTACGTACCCATTTGCAAGTTATTAAGCATAGACAATTTTAATTTTTGGGACTATGTTTTTATGGGTGGGGGAGGGGGTGGTTGCTGCCTTCACGTTGTTTTTTTTCAGTTTTAAATCAAGTAGTTGATTATTCATTATATTGTTTCAGATTTATTACATTATCTTCCTCCCCCAAGTAATGGATGTATCGTTCCAAAAGTTGTACCAACAATAGTTACTTACCTACGGGCTATTATATAAGAATAAAAAACAAAGCCAAATAATAAGATTAAAGTTTTCATGTAATATATATGTACCTAATTTTGTAGGTTATGCAAGAAATACCAATATAAAATATATTATATAATAGGTAGGTATTTAGGTATTTGTATAGTTGGTAGATCGTGGATTGGAGTGAACGAGGATAAGCAATCGGAATTCTCTGTTTAATATACCTATAGACTATAGGTTATATTATTATGTAGTAGGTAGCCATAAAGGTAATGATGATTGATGACTTCTTTTCTTCAGTAAGATAAGTTTATAAAATGTATAAAATTATAACATAGTACTGTTCACAACTATTTGTTGCTTATTCATGAAAAATATACAGCTGAGGCAGGTATCTAAAAGAGAATAGACATTTTTGTTGTAGTTGTAAAAACACAATCTGTAGGTACACAACGTCTACTTGTCAGTTTTTTATAGTTCGTGTAATTTTCTTTAAAATCGTCCGAAACGTAGTTTCAACGGCACACAATAGTAACTGAAAAAAAATACTTCGAGTAAGTACTTTCTGAGTTGTCAAAAAGTTCTTAAAGACCTACTACAAAATAAATATCAAACAGACAAGCTATACAATTTTGTATTGTTGATCATTTTAATCTCCTTACAAATGTATAAAGGTAACGGTTGACAAATATATTTTAGTAAGTCAATCATTAAATATTAATGTAAATAGTTATTTTATTTATTTGTGATTCACTGGATTCAAAAATCTGATATTGACTGTACCTATCTACTGATTGAAATAGGTACCTATGTTTATTTATAGAGTAGTGTATAATAAAATATATATTATTAGTATATAGTATATTGTAAATATAGTAAAATATAATGAGAAATATATTTGATTTTAACGTAAAATGACAAAAACTTAAGATTGTTAGTAAATATAAATGTAAATAACTCACTGAAGACACCTGTTACTCCATATGTGCAGTTTGTCTAAGTTCTATAACTTATATTAATTAATATGTTAATAATACCTTATACACTTATACAGTATACACGATTGTATTATGTTGGAAACAATAATAATATAGAACGGGAAATAATAAAAATAGTGTTGTTGGTAGAGCGTAGAGGCGTACACAATGGTTTTAAAAAATAACACAGTTTAGTCTACAGAGATTAATAATAATACTTTAGTTTATTCGCAAACATTATTTTGATTACATGCAGGCGTTATCGGTAGGCAAGCGGAGGTACACCACCGCTGACGAGGTCTTAGGTATAATTTTATGTCAGGTTGTACCACACATAATAGTAGTAATAATAATACGGTAATACATAAAATGGTTATAGTAGTAATTAAATAGAATACATCTAAAATATACCGCGTGTACTGTGTCCGCGGAAACAGGGTACATTTTATCAACCATTACTCATTACTCATTACTCCTCAAATATTTTTCAATTCTGTTTGTAATCAATAAGCATGCAACTAATATTATACTATATAATGGATCATAGGTTCCATTGACTTACATATTTTTTATCTCATGTATTTTGTGCATGCGCATTACAACTTAATTCATTTTTTAATGGCAACCCTTTTATTTTGAATATCACACTTTCGGATTGTTCGATCTTTTTCAAGTAATTTTGATTTATCAACCTGTATTTTAAACTCGAAATTTACGATATTAGACCTAGGTATAATTTTTAAAAATTGTATTAAATTGTACGTATCTATTTTTCCTTCTAAGCACTATGATAAATCAAAAATACGATTCATATATTTTCAATTTATGAATTATATTATTTTATTTTAGTATTACACATTATAAACTTACCTACATTATTCATTATAAAAACATGTATTTTCAGAAATAACCCATCACCGGTTA